AAACCTTTATCACTCAATTTGCAAGTTCTTTTGAAAATTTGTGAAAACCTTTCCTTTGCAAAAATGAGTGATCATTCTCATGATAGTAGTGTGCGTGATCATCATACTCCTAGAAGTCATAGGAGTACTAAAGATGAAATTTTGGAACTTCGGGATTATATTAGGAAAAAAGAAAAGAAAATGAAAAAAATAATGAAACCATTAGAGAGTTGCTTAACAAACTTGTAGTAAATGGTGAGGCTAGTAAGCCCAAAGTCCGTGAGGACAATGGGCCTTCTAGGCCTAAAAGGCATGATGGTGAAGGGCCTTCTAAGCCTCCTAGAGGCAAACATGTTCAAGAACATTCACGACCCAAAAGCAATCATTCACACACTCACTCATCTCCAAGACAAACTCGAGTTGAGTCAGTGCCCGAAAAATAATCTTGAGTAAGAACACATGAAAAATATTCCATATGCTTCAGCTGTTGGAAGTCTTATGTATGCTCAGGTTTGTACTAGACCTGACATTGCATTTGCAGTTGGAGTTTTAGGAAGATATCAGAGTAATCCTGGTGTTGACCATTGGAAAGCTGCAAAGAAGGTAATGAGATACCTTCAAGGAACAAAAGATTTCATGCTCATATATAGACGGACTGATAGTTTGGAGGTGATAGGCTACTCTGATTCAGACTTCGCTGGTTGCATTGATACCAGAAAATCTACATCTGGCTATGTTTTTATGCTGGCTTGTGGAGCTGTATCTTGGAGCAGCAGAAAGCAGACCTTGACTGCTACTTCTACTATGGAGGCTGAGTTCGTTTCTTGTTTTGAGGCTACCTCACATGGTGTATGGTTGAAGAGTTTTATATCTGGGCTTAGAGTTGTGGACTCAATTGCTAAGCCATTGAAGTTGTATTGTGATAACTCCGCTGCTGTTTTCATGGCTAAGAATAATAAAAGTGGAAGTCGAAGTAAGCATATCGACATTAAATATCTAGCCATAAGAGAACGTGTTAAGGAAAAGAAAGTTGTCATTGAGCACGTTAGCACTGAGTTAATGATTGCTGATCCTTTAACTAAAGGCATGCCACCAAAGAATTTTAAGGATCATGTAACTCGAATGGGACTTGGTTCCATGATGTGACAATCATTGTAATTACTTGTTAAAACTCTTATTTAGTTTGATGTTTTCTCATTTATCTTGTGCACATACCTATTTATTTTGAGAAAACTCATTAATTGTGACCTGGAATAAACGTATGGTTTATTCATTAGAGCTAAGAGATTAGGATGAGAGACTTAATATATTGTGATACATGGGAGATAATACTCATTATCAAGAGGACCTATCACCATGATTCATATATTTGGTTTCCTATTTGATTGATAATTGGATAAATGGACCAAGTGGGAGAATGTTGGCATATGCGTCATTTTGAAAACTGTTTTTGCAACAGTAACACGTTTGCAACAGCCACGTAAATAGGAAATGACGTGCTTCCGATTTTCACGTTGCTTTCCTGATCCTTTTACTTGCTACGGTTAACATATCATGAATGTGGTCCATTTTTCAACCCATTATCAAATAACTTGCGGATATGGTACCGTGATTCCCGCACGTTTTTCTCCAACGTTCAAAGAGGCTCTACGATGGATTAGAGCTCTATAAAATTGAACACGTATCTCTGTTTTGGGTCCCTGAGCCTACTCTCCTCTTCAGTATACTACACCATCACGTATAGAGAGCAAGGGTTCAGAAACCTGAAGGAGTAAGCGAACAACAATGGCTGGAGGTTGGTCCTTTAATTTCCGCAATTATGAGAATGATCTGAACGTGTTTGCTTTTGATTTTGCCATGTTTAGATCTTTAGGATATTAGTTCTTACACGTGTATCCTAACACAGGAACAGAAATAAATTTCTTATGTTATTATTCTGAATAAAGTTAACATCAACAATACATGAATTATTCCTTAGTGTCATTGATTAGGTCTCAGATGGAGAGAGAGTGGTCTCTTAGTTTCCATGATTATTCTATGCAATTTCGTGGCTGAGTTTGGCAAAATGGGGAGCTTGGCAGGAAGTTCCCTGCTTGGTTTTGGTCTCTGTTTGCAAGAGGGGCTACTTTTCTTTTGTTCTTGCCTTTGTTACTGATATATATAAAAAAAATATATTTCTTTATCTACTCTTTTTTTTTATTTTATTTTTGAACCAAAGTATCTGCGATTGAAGTTAAGGACTAATAAGAGTCCGAATTCTTGCAATAAATGTTTTTTTTATATATACAAAGATTGATAAGATTTTGATCACTGTTTAAAGACTTTTTTGAAGTTTGTTTCAAATTATCAACTTTTATTTTCAGAAAAAATATTTTCAAGAATATAATGATAAATACTGCTGTCCTTCTTCACTATTGATCTTTTTGTCATTATCCATCTTCACGATCAAGTACGAATTATGATTCATCTTTTTATGCAAAACTTGTATAATAACAAACATTAATAACCTAATATGTGTAATAACATTGTTTTTAAGGACTTATTTGTGTAATGTGCAATCCTCCCAAGGATATAACATATGTTTTTTTTTTCAATAATAATTGAGATAACATTGATGGGGAAAATCCAACACAATAATAAAAATTAATTAAGAAAGAGTAATAACACAACGGAAATTAAATTCCCCTACTTACAAGAATATGTAAGGAGCACCAACATAATAAAGTAAAAAGACAATCCAAACACAAAAGATACAAATGTTTTTAATATGAAAACCCCTCAATGTAAGGGTAAAAACTATGAGTTGTCTAGGCCAAAGAAAAAATTTCACTATGATCAACAAAGAGTACAAAACAGTCTCCAAAGATTGCACCAAACACTGCTTACAATTGACCAAAACAAAACTAACATAATTGCTTACAATTGAGAAATAAGAAGATGAAAAGCTCGCAATTTCTTGTATTTTTCTTGTGATTTTTATTACAATCCTTCTTGAGTGGGACCACTTTAGCATTTTCTCAAACTTCTTTTTTGAAGGTTGTTTTTGATCATCTTCATTTTGATATCATTTATAATTGGCTCCCCCTTCTCCAAATTTATATCAAAACTCTTATTGTTCATATGAACCTTGAACACTTCTTGAATGACTTTTGATAGCATTTGTTCGTTTGCCTTTTTATCTTCCATTTTCCATTTGGACTTTAAATATATTAGTTTTGTTGAGTTTTTTTGAAGAGTTCTTGGTCATAAGTTATATGATTTAAACAACTATCAATAATGCACGAGTTTTTTTGGTCAACATGATATTGAAAGTAGTTGTTCTTCTTCTTGTTACTCCTGAGATTTGCATACATATTTTAAGTGTCTTAATTATCCGCGTTTATAACATTTTGCGTTAGGTCTCCACTAACATCTATAATGTGGATGACTAGTTTTTTTTTTTTTTTGCAATGAGGACATGATGAAAAAATTTGGATGTTATTATTTTGCTTGTTCTCTTGGAACAATTTCTTCTTCTTATTTTTGCCACCGTTGTTGTTCTTCCATTTGGCTAAATTTACATTCTCCAAAGTTTTTTCTTGTCTCATAAGCCTACTTTATTGTAATGCTTGTAATGCATGCAACATCTCTACCAAAGTGATCTTACTTAAATTCTTCCAAGCTACTTTTGAAGCTTGATATCTTTCAAGGGAAATTACTAGAATTTTTTACAACAATTCTAGAATTAAGAAATTATGTTCTAATAAACGTACCTTATTAGCAATGCCAAGCAATTTGTCTGAGTATTGCTTAATTGTCTTAGTCTCCTTCATTATTTGTAACTCAAATTCTCTTATTAAATTCAATACTTGCATGCTTCAAATCCTTTCATCTCGAGCATATTCTTCCTTTTTAAGTAATCCCAAATTGTTTTTGTCGATTTGAGAGTTATGATCCAGGTGAAAATATTTTTTGAAATACAGTCAAAGAGACAACTCTTTGCCTTTGCCTTCTTGATTTTTCTTTCTTTGTGAATTTTCATTTGGGTTGTGATAGGATTGTCTGGTAATGCGAAAACATCACAATCTTCTTCTACACCTTCCCAAAGAACTAAAGTCTCTAGGTATGTCTCCATTCTCACTATTCAAAGATCATAGTTTTCTCCATCAAAGATAGATGGAATAATTTGTGAAAAGTTTGTTTTGACTTCTATCTCCACAAATTGTAACCTGGCTTTGATACTAATGATGAATTATTTTATATTTTTATTTTGTAAATATATATTTTTATCAGAGGTTAAATATATATTTTTATCAGAGGAGCGTAACCAAATTTTATTTATGAGGTCTTTATTTTTAAAGAAAAGTTGTCATACAAAATATATTATCTTATTCTTAAAATAAAGAAACAAATCTTAAAATAGTCAAAACATATTAAATCTAAATATTTGAAACATAAATAAATTTTTTTATCAAAATTAATTTATTCTCTTAAAAATATTTAAACATATTCCCAACATTATATACACTATATGACCTCTTTTTATTAGTCAAGGTGAGATCTCCAAAATTAGTTGACGTGAGACTTGAATTTGTTCCCACTTCGTAAAGTTCAGCTCAATATTATTGAATTTTATATGCGTATAAACCTTTTAATAGATTAAGATAATTTTAATACTATCTTAAAATAATAAATTAGAACCTAACTCAATATTATAAGACTGACTTTTAGAATAAAGGTTCCTAGATGATTATATAAAATGAAGAAAGATACATTGATGTAGTTTTCATTCTCCAAATTTATCATTCCATAGCTCTTTGACATATTGATTTGAATACCTTCACTGGATTATTTTATATAAAACTGAAGCATAGGAATACCTTCTCTGTTTGCAGAGTTATATATACCAAGAAAAATGTTAACCCACATTGAACTTAACTTTCTTTTATTTATCCTTGTATTTACTATAAATCATCTGTATTATTTTTACAGTAATTACTATTAGTGTTGCAAGCTTGCAGCATATACAATGGATTGTTAAATGTGAAATAAACTAGTGAGATTCATTGAGAGGCTATGGATGAACTAATTACATGAGATTGGTTGTTATAGACTTATAGTATAGGAAGGAAGGACTATGGGAAAATATTGGTCATTTGTCCTTGTTGGAGGCTGCCTCTGGAAGTTTAAATGTGGGAGGCTTATCAACACCCCTTCTTGAGTATTCCCTCCATCTTCTAGCAGCAGCAGCAGCCCTTTTTGCTCTTTCTTTGACTTCCTCCTCTGCATAATGATTATCATTTTTTTATCGGTAAGAATTATGTAATAAAGTTTGAATTTAAGATCTTGAATATATTATTTTAATCCTATAGCACTAATGATTATCATTTGAATGACTATAATTAACTTAAATAATACTACCTTCAGTCTTATCTAGGATAGTTTTTAACTTTTAATAATTACCACAACCAAATAATCATGCTTACTGAAAGCATACTTCTCATGTGGATTGTGGAGTCAGAATTTGTTAATAGCTACTTAGAGGTTAGAAATTACAAATTTAAATCACCTATAATAAAAGCTGGTGAAATGAAGTTATGAAACATATTGAAAATGAAAAATCATTGGCACATGGAATCTATAATTTACAATAATTAAAACTGTAGAAACATTTTGTATTTTCCAATACCTGAACTTTGGAAGTCTCTTTGTTTGCCCCAAAGATTGTTCCAGAACATATCTGCATTATCAGAACCTTTCTCCTTCATCATTCTCAATTTTGCTTGTTCCTGCAAGACACTCATAATTTTCAATTTTGCTTTGTCTGTGTTTAAGCAGCTTGGTCTAAACTCAAAACCTAAGAACTAGGAATCTTCCAAAAAGGCTCTGTATTATTTAGTAAATATTGCATCATCTTAAACTGCATGCAGATCCTCCCCTTTTTTTCGTAAAAGAATAAGCATTCTAGATTTATATGCAGATCCTCCCATTTTTTCGTAAAAGAATAAGCATTTAGATTTGAAACTTTCTATTACTTAGTGTAGTGGAGAAGAAAGGATTGAAATATCAACATTATTTTCTTTTTATCCAAAATATAACAAAAGTCTTTTCAGAAAACCCTTTTGTGAACCATTGATTTACATGTATGCCTTGAATAAATTTTTTTCCATAAAACAAGGAACAATGAGAAGTCTTAAATGTTGTGTTAGACAGGAAACTTGCTCAGACTTTGAGCTTGGTAATATCAAGAAACTTTTGGCCAGAAAGATTTGGTTGAGTTCAGTTTGGTTTCTCAACAAATGGGGACATAAATTTAGTCCTTGAAAGATGAGAAGTGACAAGGTGTCAATGACCGAAGGACATACATGATGTCACTTTCTATCTTTGAAGGACTAAATTAATGTCAGTCAATTTTAAGATACCAACTAATGTCAACACAATTTTTCAGTATTAAAATGGTAGTTTGCTTTAATTTTTCATACCTTAAGAACCTTTACATTTTCCAGAAATTAGTAGGAAAAACAATGATAATTCAATACAATTAACTGCATGTAAATAACCCAACTAAAGCATGAAAAAAAATGGTGAATGAGAATATAAAAGTTGTTACCAAGACTTTTGCCTGTCTCTTTTCCCATCGGGAACTTGCCTGCCATTAGTATGGTTGGATCATGTTAGAGGAGACAGCACATAAATAGTACATATATGCTAAAACCCAAAAAAAGTTGGGCATACTGTCTAAAACACTTTCTCTGAAATAAGCATGAAAATTATGAGGCAAAGAACATTATAGAATGGAACAATGATAGTGGTACGATGAATATTCTGAAGTAAAGCTCTCTTTTAATCCATGTTATCATCATGACTTTTGAACCATTGTTTCAAGAGTTGGAAATAAGAAATTTCCAAATTCAAGGTCCTTCAGCCATGTTGTAGGGCCTGCACAATATGATGATTTCAACCATGTTTTAAACCAAGAAAGGCTGATCAATCCTCAAAATGTAGTTAAAATCTTGGAAGAAAACCTTTGAATATTTAAATAATCTAGTAGTCTATGAGTTATGCTTACCATTCTGAAAACATCAGTTGATGCTGCTCCCATTCCGGAAAGCATTATGGCAACCTGTTCATATTTAAGATATTCAATAGATATATTTATGGTAAACAAAACGCTTAACTAGATCATGAGCATTCACAAGTCCTGATTCCATTTGGATTTGGTGATAGGATTATAATGTATACCACTAGGAGCAGAAAAAAAACAAGTCACCTTTCTTTAGCCCATTAGTTATCTAAAACTTCGTTCAAAAGGAACAAGATTATTACATGAGAGACAAATTTAATGTTTTCACAAATAAAGAAAAGGCAGAAGCCTAAAAACTGTTAAATTCACACTAAAAATGATCAGAAACCGTGAAGAAGTATCCCAATTTGAAAGAGAAAAAAAAAAGAAGATAAGACTTGTTTATAACTGTTTTTCATATATCAGTTGCATCTAACAGAAAAAATAAGAAGTGACCATATTATCTTAGGAATAAAAATTATAGGGTAAGAAAGATCACTAAAGAAATAGAAAAGAAAAAAAAAAGAAGATAAGACTTGTTTATAACTGTTTTTCATATATCAGTTGCATCTAACAGAAAAAATAAGAAGTGACCATATTATCTTAGGAATAAAAATTATAGGGTAAGAAAGATCACTAAAGAAATAGAAATAGAAATTGTAACTTTGGCCTTACATTGACTCTTTCTACACGACGCATTTCGTCTTCAAGCAATGATAGTTGTGCAGCTGATGTCCAATGAATGCAGTCAACAGGGCTAAAATACAAAATTTCTGAAATTAATTTTTGAAATCTCCATTTGCCTAGTTACTTCACAAACAATGCCTTTGTCATATCATGAATAAAAAACTCAAGTGTCCAACAGCACCAATGGAAATTAAAAAAAAAAAAATTTTTTACTAAATAAAGAAGGTTTAATCCTATTCCTATATTAATCTATGCCAAACCAACAAGGGTAGGGAAGGTATAATATTTATAGTCCCCTGTTATATTTTTATCCCCTAGACTTTCAACTTTTCCGTTTTTCTGGTTTCTACATATTTGACTCCTTTCTCAACATGTCTAAGCATGCAAGAAGTCAAAGGCTTAAAAAATTGTAGTTCATAACCATTAGCACTAGCACAAAAAAAAGAAGGATTAAAAACATAACCACAATAGATGAGAAAGCATGCTTATTCTGGAGGGTTTTGAATTTGTAATTGTAATTAAAATTATTTGAGTTAACCGTTGGCTGATTTGAATATGCAGTTGTCAAGTGGTGTATGAATAAGATATATACGAGCCAGCATGATTTGATGAAAATTCAGTTGATTATCGTCCGTAACATACTAAGATAATCAATATATACTATTGTAATGTAGCCCATAACTGATATCCCCCTTTTTATTTCCCGGTAAAATGCAGGGCCAAAGACCTAAGAACAATTTAATCCTAATCATCAATAATAAAATGGAGAATTTTATAAAACAATAGTGGCACTTAAGGCAATGTCATGACCACAATATAATAGATCAGTAATACAGTAACAGAACCAAAAACCTATTCTTAGAAACAAAACAAGGTCATGGTAAGACAACATTAAAAAGCAGAAAGCGGGTTGAATTAAACTTCAAAAATGCTTAAAATGAATGGAAACTATGGATAGAAAAAGAGTGATTAGAGTGACCAGTGACGATACCAACTATCAATAGCCTGTTGAACTAATTCAGGGTTCCCGCATTGGCTGTACACTCTGGCTCTTCCAAATTCTTCCTCTATTCCAAACACATCACAGGCTACATTGGCACAATTTTTGCAGCCTGTTCAAGGAATTTGAAGTACAATTACATAACATGCATAGTATTGTCCTAGTTGAGGATCTAATAAAGACATGAAGCAACATTAAATTTTTCTTTATATATCAATTAATTACATTATGCATGGCATTGCAAATTTTAGTTGTCTTTGTTGTCTCATTCGCTTTACCAATTCCTGGTAGACCCAAAATTGTTTTTTCTGTAAAAAGAGGTGACATCAAGAATGAGAAAAAGTACCTATGCAGCTGAATTCATCAACAAAAACATGATCCTTTGGGCTAGAATCATCCAGAAAAGGGTTGATTGAAGTTAAAGAATACCCATGAATTTCATCATAAATCATGCGCTGAATGGGATCACTGAGCACCTGCACTGTAATAGTCAATTTACTATATATAAATAAAAAGAAAAACACAATTAAACTTGAACATCATTTTTTTTAGGTTTCAAAATTTGATATAGAAAATGGAACCCACCCCATAGACTTCATTGATGAAGGTGCAGAAATTGGTTGTCTCAGGATCATTGCCACTCAAGTCCGGGTGGCAAGCTTTCATGCAATTGTAGTAGGCCTTCTTGATCTGTGCTGGAGTAGCATCTGGAAGCTGGTAAAACACCAACCAATAATTAACATACTATGATACTGATATTCATCTTGAAAATATTCTCTCACTTCCCTCCATTATAACATTATTCTCATAGCCACTGTTTATGATTAAAAACAAAAAGGATAAAAGAGTTTAATTTTGATACATTATCAAGATTTTTATACTTGAACTAATTAGAAATAGTTCTAAATGTGACTTTAGAAATAATTATTACAACATTAACAGATAATTCTAAATGTGAATTTAGAAATAATTATTACAGTATTATGTCATGACAATTGATTAGATAATAAGTTAAAACCTATATTCTCTTCCCACCACAGACGAGACAACTAATCAATAAAGATTAGTCATAATCATTAAATACCGTACAGCAATATAATAGTTAAAAAAAAGGTATACCCTCTTGTAAAAAAAAATTACCCTCTAATTAAATTCTTCTATTTTTACTGTGAAAATATCATTGATGAACACCTCAGCCTACATTACTAAAGAAAAACTACCAAATTTAATTGGTTTCTCCATTGTCTCTAAAAATTACTCAGATGAGAGAGACCCAGCATAAATAATAAACTATGTAACCCTTTCGACTTTGGAAAATCAATCAAAACATGGATGGAAATTTAACAGAAGGTTTAAAGTTGTATAAAACTAATACGACACATTTTATTTATTTATTTATTTCACAAGACTTTCATTCTTTATTATTATTTACCCTGTAGGAATATTTTTGGTATGAGCCATGAGGTAAAGAGAGGAAAAATCAGAGTATTTGATACATTACCAGACCCAAAACTGCATAGTAGTCATCTGCAACAGTTTCACTCGTTGAAAATGATTCTTCAGCAGCAACTCTCACCCTTCCACACCCTCTTCGTTTGCCATTAATGTGTGTTACAAAGTTCGAAGAAGTTGCAGTCTTTGGCATCATCATCCTCCATGAGCATAAATTCGTTGATGGATTGTGAAGTTTGAGAGGTTCTGTGTACACTGGAGACAGTAACTGGGCCATTCAAATGACCAATTCCAGTGAAAAGAATCTTGTCAACGTTGAATTGAACTGTTGAATCGAGAGATTAAATGACATAAAAAAATAAATAAACAAAATTGTTGATAATCTTTTGAATGGAAAATTGTAGAATTCGAATTTTTAAGGTGGAAGAAATTTGGGCCTAGAATATCACAGGCGGTGTTGATGACGTGGCAGTGTGACAACCAATGACATCCACAGAATCTAGTCGAACCTAAGATGAATCTGGGAGAGTGAAGAAAACGAGGCAAAGTGGGTTTTACACGAGAATGGCACGTGTCATCTTGTGCACACATGCCAATCATTTATCCCAAAAAAATCAATGCCACGGATATTTTTATTTAGATTTTTTTTTTCCGAAATAAATCAGTGTTAGTTGGTGCCATTGTCACGTTAGATTGTGAGATTTACTTTTTAATTTGCAATTAAGCTTTAGATATTTCTTTCGTAAGATTCCATTATTTTTATTTTTATTATTTTACTATATTGTTTGTATTTATTGACTTTAATAATAACCATTCAAAGAGTTACGTAAAAAATAATATAGTAATATTTTATTCACCAAACAGAAATAAAAGAACAGAGATCAATATTAGTTATAAATAATAACTTGTTTTCATTATTTAGTAGAAATTAAGCGTATACATAGACATCATGAGATCAAACGCAAGCAAATTACTAGGAAAGGAAATGATGGTTACGTGCATATACTAAATTAAGCATTGATTTACATAAGGATTTATAACAGAATTCATGCAGTTGGATAAGAGGCATACATAGCAATTCCACACAAACCTTCCTTAGCAAGTATATCTCGTTTCATCCTTATATACCCTTTCTCACCCCATTCAGTGCCCCATGAATTCTTTACTAGCCAATACTTGGTGCCACCACGAGCTTCTCCATAACCAACTACTGTAACACAATGATCTGTTTTAATTCCACACTTGCCTGCAAATATACCACTTGAGTAAAATTGAAAATCATATCCTGTAGATTCAATATAAACTGACACTGGTTGATGTGCCACAGCTTTCAGTAGTGCCTTTTCACTATTAGAGGGAACTTTCTCATACCCTTTAATCCGAGCTACACCATGAGTTTCCTTCTTAACCTTACATGTCTTGTTATTTCCTTTGTAGGGGTAATATGTTTCACTTTCTATGCCTCCTTTCTTCGCAATAAACTCAAAGGCATCTTCTATATAACCACCGATGCATCCTTTGCTTTCACCTTTCACACAATCTACCAGTTCTTGCTCAGAGAGAGACACTAATTTTCCTGTAGTAATTTGGTGGATACCCTCGGTCGCAGCTGCAGCCGAAAATGCCCAACAACTACCTGTTTTCACAAACAAAACAAAGTTAATTAATGTATATTAGCACAGTTTTTGATTCGGTCTTTCTAACCAGTGCCCTTAGGACACTTGTTAGGGAATTATGTAGAAAATTTTCATTAAAAACTAAAATAAAATTCTGCTAGAGAATTTACATATACATTTTTCAATAAAAACTCTCTACTTTTGATTCTTTAACCAGTGCACTAAAGACACGAGTTAGCATGTTCCTTTTTATTAAGCACCAATGAATTATATAATTGAAGTGGTGGAACGAGGAAAATAGAATCTTACGACATGTGCCTTGGTCCTTGATAGGGGTAACAGCACCTCTTTTCCTCCAGTCCATGGTAGCAGGAATATCAGTGACACTCACACTGTCATACCTAAACGATGTTTCTGTTACTGTCTCCAACCTTTGTGTCTTCTTGTGACCATTAGTTAGTAAAGCCTTAAATTCTTCATTATGTAGGTCCGCAAATCGATTAATGCTAAGGTTGAAAGGTTTGTCACCAGCAGCATTGAATGACTCAATGAACTGCACGTTGTTTTTGAATATTTGGAAACGTTTTTCCTTTTCAGCAGCATCCTTGTAAACCTTACCATACTGTGTCATCCACTTCTCATGTCTCTCCGATGTGCAGGCCTCGGACAACCTGCGAGACATTACGTGGCATGTGCACACAGTAAGAACGAGGAACATGACTAAAATATAGTGGTTTTGGCTAAATGAAATCATCTTGTGATAAAAGCTATTGGTTTTAGAATAGCTTTGTTGAACAAAGAAAATTGGCTTAGTTTTTGCACGAAAAGTAGTGGCAAATACAACTAATTTATAGTGGTAAGGGGTTCCTGAAGAGTTGTAATTTGATAGTGCATGAAATAGTTGTAAGCACAAGTTGAGCTTGGTTTCCTACTCAGATTCTTAATTACTAGCACTAGAGGACGTGTGTAATGCTAATTTGTTCGAGTCAATTAGTCAACATTCAAAGATATCCTTTTCAACACAATGTTTTTAAATGAACACAAATTTGTAATAAACTTATTCTATTTTATGATCAATTTAATTAATTTGGAATGATTAGATTTGTAAATATTATTTTATTATAAAATGTTATAGGAGATGTTAATTGTTCAGTAAATTTACACTCGGTATCATTTGATTGTCATATATATACACATAGACATCTTAAATCATTTTAAAGATAATGTAAATAATTTAGTGAGTAACAATTATTTCTAGGGAGACTAGAAAGAGAAAGGACAAAAAATTGAAGTTTAATTTGAATTAGAATAATATTATCACTTGTTGCATGTGTTTTTATTTTTAGTCATCATCTAAAATATCTGTTATTAATAAAGACAATTTTATATATATATATATATATCTAAATTCATATTTTTGTTGTTTAAATGATTTAAAACTTTAATTGTATCTCAACAATCTCCGTCAAATAAAGGATTATAGTTTTACCTTTTCTATAGCATAAGTTATTAGTTCATAAGTATATTTGATAGTGGTCTATTTAACTTGTATCGTCACTCCATCATTTAACTTGTGATAATATGATACACTTCTTAATCCTCTATGTTAATAGGAAAACTTTCTTTCATATATGAACTTATTGTTAGAAAGACTTTCTTTTACATATGAATTTATCATTAGAAAGACTTTTCGATACATAAGATTCACACTTAGATATATCATGTCTCCCATTGTCAAATACTCATTTAAGACTCTTAGTTGGCCACGTAGTCAAAACTATTAAGTACTTATATATATATATATATATATATGAGGAGGGATTCGTTTACT